TAGTGTGATATTGTGAACTAGAGTACAAAGGTGCCCGGTTCTAAGTTGTTTATGACCGATAGAGTTAGTGATACTAAAACATTTGCTCAACACTAGATATATAATTCAAGTAACACAAATCCTAAAATCATTCATTACTTTTGATGAACTAGTTTCATGGAAACATTGACAACAGAATAAACATGATGATTTCTTTATTTAGTTTAGTTCATTCTGTTTTATTCATCATACTGTACTATGAAATATTCCCATTCATTCATATCTCAGTAAATCGAAGATTATCACGTAGACCAAGTACATCAAGGCAATTAAAAAGTAATACTGGTAAAAAACAAAAAGAAAAGAAAGGCAAAACAAAACGAGGTGCAGAAAATCGGAAAATCAGTATATCACCGGAAGTAAGCTTATAATAATAATAATAATAATAATAATAATAATAATAATAATAATAATAATAATAATAATAATAATAATAATAATAATAATAATAATAATGGTAGTAATAATAATAATAGTAATAATAATGGCAGTAATGGTAGTAATAATAATAATGGCAGTAATAATAATAGTGATAATAGTAATAGCAATAATAATAATCATGGTAGAAGTAGTAATAATAGTAATAATGGTAATAATAGCAGCCCTATTCAGTAAGATAAATTTGTCGAGGTGATCCACAGTATTCCTCAAAATTGCCTAGAATGGTCATGAAAACGCTGGAAAACATTCTATCCAATCAACAGTGAACAGAAGTGTCCCAGAAACTTCTAGGAAATGAAGAGTGATGTGTCACTTTTGTGATTGACTGAAGACCTGTCCTGCCACCATGTTTAGTAGGGTTCAAGAACATTCCAGAAGCCCAAGGCCATCTGAAATGCTATAAATACCCTCGACTTTCTGTATATAGACCAACCTTGGAGTAAAGCGTTCTTTCCACATTTCGCGCCTTTTCACTCGTGTTCACGTAGTCATGTAGATTAACATGGGGTTACTAGAGGATCTTAGGAAACCGATTCAAGCGTTCAGTTAAAAGCTGTATCAAAATTTTGTCACAGTAAAGAGATCTCAGCACTAATTACTGAAAATTACAACAAACATACCTATACCGTGAATTGAAATTGTAATTATTCGAAATATTAAAAGACTAGATCTTTTTTTCAACTGCCAGTATCCGACATCTGTATTTATTCATTAGACTTTTCTACTGGTACAACTATTATAACTAATTTTTCCCATTCATCATATTTAAAGTGCTTGAAACGCAAAGTAGTTTTGTCTCTCGTTTTGTCAAATAGTCAATAAAATGGGTACCTCGCCAAGAACCGTTCTGTTTTTGTTCGAATTTTCCAGTATTTGATTTATTAATAATAATTTGTAACCCTGTTGTAATAATATGTGAGTTTGTAGCGGCTGGTACTATGTCAACCCAAATAGGTTATTCTAGCTCCTGGACAGACCAAATTATTCATTATCCTCAAGCCATATTTTGACGTTGCTATTGTTTTGCTGATTAACCACGAGTTTTAATAAGATGGTATGTGAGTTAATTGTTTGCTTCATTCATTGTGTGTCTGTAATTTATTTTTGTTTGACTATAAATATTGAGTCACACCTAATCAGAACGACCTGGTTCACCCTCCATCTACGCTGAGCGTCACTTCGTTTCTTTGATTGTCTGTCTGGATAAATGAGTATAAGAAGTATACATATCCAAAATCCATTCTTGTATTTGACTTATTTCATTTCGTTATTCTCTAACACGAACCAAGTCGATAAAAATATACGAGAGTTGGCAGTATGTATTATTTCGATAACAATAACCATACGATTTAATTCGAGCCAGATACAGGGGTCACTAAAAGTTCATACAGTTAGTAATTATTATGATTCACTTCAAACGAATCTAATGCAGTTAAATTAGTTGTAATATCTGCACAGTTAGAAAATACGTGACCCAAACTCTTGAGCAGGTTCCTCTGATTAAAATCTTTACTGAATCTTTTTTTTCATCAACTTCATGATAATTTATCAATAGAAATAAAATTACATGCGAATATATATCTAGTGACATTTATGTGAATGACTATTTCTCGAAAAATTGTGGTATATATAAGTATTCCATGATTTATATTAAAGGCAAACTACAAATGTTATTGCGGTATTGCTAATAGTAATATTAAGAATTTGTACTTTCAGGTTATTGTTGCTATTCAGAATTGCATTTGGTTAATCTATGTGACAGTAATAAGGGCTCTTCAGTAACATTTATAAAATCATTTGAACTAATTTCTTTAAAGATAATACATATACGTGAATTTGTAGGACAAATATTAAAATGTATACAATACGTGGCAAATGGTTTCATCATTGTAGAACTAAGAAACAATCATTAGTTATATTAGAAAACTGAAACTCATCCAGCTGTGAGAATATATCTGTTTATACTTGATTAGTTCCTTAAAGTCAAAAGTACTAATCAATGGAATTCAAATCAATGTAATTTATTACCAATAGTTACAGACATAATTTTGTACAATTTCATAGATGCTTACCAATAAAAAGTCCTACGATATGAACTATCAATATTTTGGCTTTCAATCTTTCTTAATTGATATCCTGCAACATATATGTTTACTTACCAACTTGTGTGTGAATATTTTGTACGACATGAAAGTAATTGAGCTTCAGAACAAGTAGAAACTAGGAAGTAATAAACTGTTTCATTTGTCGGCGTTTAGAACTACCCGATATTGTGAACGCGCAAAATGGAATCCTTTTTTTTCAGAACTAGGGGCGAGCATGATATAATAGATCTGTCATGTCGAAAAACAGTGATTCATTTGCCCAATTCCAATCAAGAGACCACCATTTAATATTGTAGGTGGATTATCACACTTCTCAACTAATTAGCTCTATAAGTTATGACTTAGCATTGGGATTTATTGAGATTCATCTTAAAGGATATGGTCATTAGTAACCGTAGTGATTGTATGATGGTTTTATAGAATATGAAACTCAAATATATTGAAACTGAAGTTAACCTCATTGATGACATAGGACGCTGGCAGCACTATATAGGAAGTCAAGTAAGGTCAGAAAATATAAAGATTCGGATTCCGATTGAATCAATGAAAGCTTCATACTTACAGACGATCATGAATTCGGTCCCTTGTGGAATCATATGTGTTCCCGAAAAGTTAAAAAATAGAACGAAAAAGCAATCTATTTCTCTCTTACTTTCCAGCTGATGGAAATGCTTATATATTTATTACTTTTTAAATTCAGATAGATAAGTCTGAAAATCAAAAAGAAACACCAGATGGGTTGATTGATCAAGAAGAACAATTACTGCAACAAAATCCAGAATTAGATAAAACAAGTTCATCAATACAATGTGAAGTTGAAACGTGGGAGTCATGCATGAGAAACTTTCTGAATAAATTTCTACAATCAGTTGAGGAATTACAAATTCTGCATAACAGGGTTTATCAATTGAACTGATCAACAAAATACTTAGTTTTTTTAACAGTCGACTGGAAATGTATACATATATTAAAACTCAAACATTTGAATGTAGGTAAATACAATTTCGACATAATAAAATCCATTATATTTTTTACGTAACCATTTTATTAATAAAAACAACATCTTGGATTCAACTTAGCAATGTGAACTTACGTCAGTCAGTAGACCCTAGTCAGTTTGAAGCCCACATTTATTTTGAATAAGTAACTGTGTTGTTCAAAATCGCCCCTAACAATAAAAGACTTTAATTCCAGTCGCTTTTCATCTAAACATAGTCATTAAAGTAACCGTCAATTATACAATATAGGATTTAAAAAACTGTTCAACTAATAGTTCCACAGAGTCAGCACTTAAATGGCCTCTTTAAAATAACCTTGACCTATTCTCTTTCATCAGTAGTATCTTCGTGATATCAGTCATTCTCTGATTATTCGGTTTGAATCCAAATGAGCAACAATTAACCAATAGATCGGAGACAGAATCTAGAATTTTGGATAAATGGTAATAAGGTTAATTTTTATTTGCTAAAAATATCCAATGGAGCGCTAGTACCAAGAGGTATGCTCTCCAAAGTTACGTGATGTTATGAAAATAGCATAATGACAGTAATTAAGAGAAAATCAAGATATATGCATAAACGAACAAAGTCGATCAATGGAACTTATAACCAACCTTAGCCTAAGCAAATATCGAACCAAGGACTACTGGGTAATAGAACTGCTAATCTACACGATCTCGCTACTATCCATATTTCACTGACCAATTCAATTATCTTCAATACAATGAGTTCACTTACTTATACTTTTAAAATGAGAAACCATTGCAATTCCCACGACGCGAAGAACACCAAGACTGGTACAAGTGAAGATTTATTAAACCCCAAAACACGACGACGACCCTAGTCGGAAATACACTTATTTATATATTGATTGTACATCCATTTGACTATTAATTAGGATGAAATCACGTCATATCAAGTTCGATATTATATATAATGAGGTAGCCAATTAGAGTAACGCCTGACGAAGATCAAATTAAGGATCATATTTTCATATTTTAAACCACTAAACGATATTACCTAGATCACTGAAAACCTGAAAGCATTGTACAGTTGTTTCGTTCTAGTATGGGGCTCAGGTGTACATCCATGACCCTGCCACTAGGAACCAACTTCAAAACCTTCGGTTTCGCGCGTATACACTGAACCTCTAGATCACTGAGTTGGCATCCAATGGTGTACACGTCAACTTCAATCAATTCGCGATATTGTACGACCGTCTTCCATTACCTGCCGTGAATAACGATATTGTCCCTTTATACTGTTTAACTTAATTCTCCCTAGTCATCTAATAATATTGCGTTCGTTCGTCAACTTTTGTTGCATTGATGCACAGATCAAAAGTATTATTCCTAAAAAAAAATCACATCCATTCTCTAACTAGTTAATTTGAAAAAACGAAGCACATTAAATCCAATTTTTGAAAATTATAAAGAATTTATTATGGAGGTTTATCTAAAAATATTAAAGGAATATGTACAAAGTGTATATCTAATCGCAGTATTAGTCAGTATTCAGGAAATTTTGGTTTTAATAAAAATGGATTTTTTGTTTCAGGAGATTGATTAGAATTACTATTTACAAAAACGTTTGACTTAGACTTTACAAGATTTTGGTCATCTTTGTTGTCGGTCATTGACATTTTCATATCACAGTTGTTGGTTACACTAGCAAGTAGAGCTGACAGATATGGACGAGGTGATTCTTTTGGAGTGATCACTGTACATGGTTGATTTTGATTTTATGCCATAAAATAGAAACGAAAAAATATATTACTTATTCTAAAGTTATATCATTATAAAAACACATAAACACGAACATTATATATATAAATATTGTAGATTACCCAAAAACGTAGATATAGTTAGATAAGCAAATGCGAATCTTTAAACCGAATTTTATGGTCCATCCCATCGTTGGTCAACTGTTGTTTACCTTCAAAGATTGCATTACTTACATTTATTTTTCCATTACTACTATTGAACAAGAAATCGGTGTTTGGAATTAATTTTAATGAATCATTTGACTGCATATAATGTTACAACCAGATTATGTGTTTCATGTGACAAATCATACAAATCAGAATTGTAATCAATTAGGTAATGAACAGCTTCTTGTACCCCACACCATATTTAATTATAAAATACTTCTTTGTTTAATCCACATTTTGGATTTATCAATTTATTGCTGACAGACTGTTTGCTGCACGTTCTTTTGCAATAATTTTGGAGGCGCATGAATAGTTTTAGTGGATTATTATGTTTTAGAAATCCTAATTAATAAAATAGATTTTCAAAAGTTGGACGACTATGTAACTTCATATACTAGCAGATATATCTTAGAAATAAACTTAGCATATGTTGTGCTACCTTTTTTTATTATACAAGCAACTTCTTGAGTGTGCTATTCTGCTAATTTTTTAATTACTGTCAAATTTTCCTCTTTTCATAATTTCATATTTTGTGACATATCGCCTAATTATTTGGTTTTCATTGTTCTGTAAGTAAATATTTCGGTTGACAAACTACCATGGTTAGACTAATGATGACATTTTCCAAATGATGGAGTTTATTTGTATCTCAGGGTGAGAATGTTGGAGATGTTGTGTTCTCTGAGTTGGATAGCTTGGTTGCAAAACTTCTACTGTCCTCGTAGACAATATCATTAGCACGTACTTCAAAGGAAAATAGGCTAAACTAACTAGTATCCGGTAGCAAATATGATTTAAAATGTTGCTGAAATACTCCAAAGTGCAATATTATTTCGTTTCAGCTTTTATGTGAATTATGACTGAAAAGTAATATTGTTTTGTTTATTTACATCCCAATGGTAACAATTGTTAATGCTTTCAAAAAACTTGTCATCGTAAGAAAGGTAACTAGAAAAAATATGTATAAATTTGGTTGAAAGAGAAATAGCATACACATGAACGATTCAGCATCACCCGGAAATAGGTATTGAACAGGCTGAACACGACCCAAAAACCGAATTAAAGACTCTTGAACTTTACGACGTTGTTCAACTACACGACGGCGTAATGAAGATGGATCAGAAGCAATCGGTGCTCGTTTAACACGTGTATTTAGGAAAGTGTGAGGTTCCGGTAATATAGGAAGTTGTAAATGTGCAGGAGCGGGAGGTGGCAAACAGTATGACAGCTGATCTGAAATACCTTGAGCTACACCCGTATTTAACAAAGATGTGGATCCCATCCCACCAAAACGTGGATTTCCCGACCAATTAGGACGCAATGACAAGGGTCGAGGAATAATGGTTGTTCCTCCTGGGCCCAAAACTGCAGCACATACCACACCTTTCTTCGGAGAACTTCCGATGCTAGTAGCTGAACGATATAAAAGAACAGCCATCAATAAAAATCGTTGAAAATCAAAATATTTATGTAAGTAATTATTAAAATCAACGTGCATTAGCGATTAGGAATTTTCCATCCTGAAGAAAAACAAGTCAAAATTGGATAACAGAAACGACAGGCATTTTACAAATAATCTTTGATCCAGCTGTGATAAAAGCACTTCAATCAATTAACATAAAGTACCTTTAGCCTTTTTCAGTTCGAAATATAGGCAGCAAAATTCATATAAGATACGAAAAAGGGCATCAAACATCAAGACTTAACGATTTTAATTAAGCTAAAGAGAGATGTGACGCATTATAAGTCAGAAAGTTATATCCACATTTGTAGCTATAAACTTCTGCACTATGAATTTCACCAGAAAAAAACGTTCTTATGGTAAGTATCAATCTGCAGTTTATAATGGATGACTGAAAATTATAATACCAATTCAATAGGGAAGGTAAATATTTCTTCAACCATTGATTAAACTAACTAAACGAATATCACAGAAATAAACACCAGATAGATCTCCAAATAAAATAAAATAAATTTCGATCATAACTTTTAAAATATGAATTGCCCCTGCTTACTTTTGACGAACTATTACTGAAAAACTGTTTAATATACACAAATGAGTCGGGTCTTCTTATATTCGTTAAACTTGAATACTACTACTGATTCGTCTTACTCGGAACGGAACGAAGAATCAAGGATTCAGAGACTCGATAGGCTATACTGATCCGTTGTCCCCGACTCAGCTAACTCGATCCAGAAATCTTGGTAAGATGTAGAAAGTGTATTCTACAGACAACCAGAAGATACCAGGTCCATCAAGCACACAAATCAAGCGTATTTATACAAAATATATATAATCGATATTGCCATGGAAGTTTTTAAACATTTAATCGATAAGTTCGTCAATCGACTATGTGCGTGGGTGGTAAGAAATGTCCAAGCAAACATCTGCATACAAGCTCCACAAGATAGTTACAAAATATGAGTTTTGTGGATCTATCGTCCCCAACACTCCTCCCCTTTATAATAGCGTGCGTTCCTGGGGTCGACCTGCATCTTGACTGTTGCTCGCCGCTGTCGGAGAGGCCACCATCTGGAGCGCGTTTCCGATTATTGTTTAGGTTTTCTTGTGGTGGAGCTGCCGGTAAGTTGAATGTGTCTATCAGGATCTCAAGGGGAATATTTGCTTCGGTTGATGGGCGGTCTGGGGCTAGCCGTTTGCGTAACTGGCTCCGATGGCGTTGCCACCTGTCACTGCCTACCTCAACTTCGTACATGACTCGGCCAACTCTTCTGATCACTCGCGCTTCCGTCCATGGACCATGGGTTGGTCTGTAGTCACGGGCAAACACAGGACATCCCACTTCGTGCGTGGATTGCTTTTCAAACCTTGTCCGTTCTGGTGTCGGTGCATTACTTGGATGCATCAGGCTGTGGATCGTCTTCAGTCTTCTTCCCATGAGGATCTCTGCTGGGGACTTTCGCTCCGGCAACGTCTCATTTGGTGTTGTTCGGTATACATATAAGAAATTTCGCGACGCGTCCGCTGGCGTCCCCTCCCCTTTTGACTTAGCCAAAGCTCTTTTAAACGTATCCACAAACCTTTCTGCTTGCCCATTCGACTGCGAGTGGTATGTTGGCGACCGAAAGTGCTTTATGGCTAGCCGTTGACAGAATGACTGGAATTGGCTGGAGGTGAACTGTGAACCGTTGTCAGATATAATGGCATCCGGTATACCATTTCGGGAGAAAATTTCTGTGAGGATTTGTATTGTTTTAGTCGTCGTTGGCGGTATTATAGGGTTGATTTCTGGCCATTTCGAAGGGGCGTCGACTAAAACTAGATACATGGTTCCGTTAATCGGGCCTGCAAAGTCGACGTGTATCCTGGACCAAGGATGACCAGGTAATGGTCATGAAACTGGTGGAACTTTGGCGTTCACCTTTGCCGCTTGCTGACACCGCATACATTTTCCAACCAATTCTGTTATATGTTGATCCATTAGCGGCCAATATGCATGACTCCTGGCTATGGATTTCATTCGTTTAACCCCCGGATGACCAAGGTGGAACTGTTTTAGCACTTTTGCACGAAGGGATTTTGGCACAACCACTCTTTCTCCGAACATCAAGCAGTCGTTTACAACACATAGCGAACCCCGCCGCTGATACAGCTGCTTCATGTCACCATCAAACTTCTTAGACGGCCAACCGTTGGTGACATAGCTCATAGTCATCTTGATGATGGGGTCGCTCTTAGAAGCATTTTGTACGTCTGTTGCAGATACCGGCAAAGCTTGTATTGCGGTCGTCATATAACATTCGGCGTGATCTTCCGCTAGCAGAGAAGCGATTACCGTGTTTTCCTCAGCCGTCAACTGATCACTAATGAGTCGTGATAAGACATCCACCTGACCGAATTGTTGAGTGCGTCGGTACTGGATCTCGAAATCATACCATACCCATCTTTGAAGACGATTTGCAGAATGAGCTGGAATGCCAGATTCCGACCCGAATATTGTGAGTAAAGCCTTGTGACCTGTGAGAAGCGTGAATCTCCGACCGTACAGGAACTTGTGGAAACGGCGCACAGCAAACACAAGCGCAAGAGCTTCTTTTTCTATCTGGCTGTATTTTTTTCTGCTGAGGTTAGTGTGCGGGATGCATGCATAACGGCTTTTTCTGACGCATCCGGAAACTGAGGTGAGATAACAGCGCCTAGGCCATACGCAGAAGCGTCTACCGCTACGATGATCGGCATGGCTGGATCGTCGTGTGTTAACAGCGATTCCGAACTAATAATGGAATTCAGTTTACAAAATGCTGCGTCACACTGTTTAGTCCAGTTCCAAGAGCTGTTCTTCTGCAGTAAGCTATTCAGTGGAGCGCGAATATCATGCGTCGATGGAACGAACGCTGAGTAATAGCTGACAAGTCCCAGGAAGGAACGTAGTACCGAGACATTAGTGGGAGTGGGCATCAGTTTGATAGGTCGGATATTCTCAGGATCCGGTCTGCGGCCGTCGGCATCGAAAACGAACCCCAAGTACTTTACCGACTGCAAATAAAACTGGCATTTCTCTGAGCGTAACCGGAACCCGTTGTCACTGATACGTTGCAATACCAATGGCGTCCGTTCTCGTAGTTGTTCTAATGTCGTCGCTACAATTAAAATGTCATCCAGATAAGCCGCAACACCCGAGATACCTGATACGATGGTATCCATTAATTGCTCGGAAATAGATGGGGTAGTTTTGACCTCGAAAGGTAGATGGTTATACTGGAACAAACTACGATGGGTATTGATAGTTAGCAGCTCTCTTGATGCTTCATCTACTTCCACTTGCAAATAAGCATCAGCTAGATCCAGTTTAGCGAAAAACCTTCCCCCATCCAGGATGGTAAATAGGTCTGCGGGAACAGGCAGGGGATAATGATGTTGTTCCAGAGCTGCATTGAAACCTGTTGAAAAGTCAACACATATAAGTATCATGCCATTAGCCTTCTTGATAACAACTATAGGTGCTGTCCATGCAGAGCAGGAGCGGGAGCAATAACTCCTTATTGTTGAAGGCGATTCAATCCTTCATCTACTGTTGGTAATGTTGCATAAGGCACAGGTCTCTTTGGATGAAAAGCAGGCTTAGCCCCAGTTTTCAATCGATGTGTTGCTTTAATGGCAGAGCACTGACCCAATCCAGGTTGGAAAATAGTTGAAAACTGCGTCATTCAGTTCCTCGTATATGCTTCCACGTCATGTGGTTGTTGTCGTAGTTGGGGTTGTGATACCAGGTTGCATATGGTATTCAACGGAACATCAGCTAAATTTTACTGATCGAACCGGTCTAAACCGACTAAGTTGAGATCAGCTGGGGTTATGTAACATACCCCAACAAACGCCGAATCACGGAAAGTAACTGTACCTTCCATTTGTCCTAGCAGGTGAAGGTAATTACCACACGCAGTACAAGGCTTTCGCATTGTACGCTGCAAGTTTGGGCTGCCCATTTTGGTTCAAATCTTACGTGAGAGGATAGTGACATCTGAAGCAGTATCTATCTGCAATCTAGATGAATGCCCATTAATATTAATAGTAATAAATTTTCTCTCACCTGGTGATGAGCTTTGACACGAAGATACTAAGCTCAATGAATTGGTGCGGGATGTAGGAAGGGTCTTTTTGGTATTTCTGGATTGACTTGAATTCTTCTTCTTCAGACAAAACCCATCCTTATGACCGATAACCTTACACTTCTTGCATCTATGTTGCTTAAATGGGCAGTTTCGAACGTAGTGCCATGCACCACATTGCCAGCAAGGAGTAGGGGAACTTGCTTTAGTCTGTCGTCCCGAGCTGGAGTGGGATGAACTTGATGAGGCAGGGACCTATTTGTTTTTGTGAGGTGTCTGTTGCATCGCTCGTACTTCAGATCGGCTAGACCCACCACTCTGGACCATAGAAGTGTCTCGTTGCAGATTAATGAGACGTTGATATTCATTAGCTATATCACTCAGGGTGATTTTCGGCTCTTGATCCAACCGACTCAGTAGCCTTGTTCGTAAGTCACTAAACTTTTGGTGCTGCAGGCTGCAAATGAGGATCAGGGCTTTAAACTGATCTTCAGTCAAGGACTTTAGCCGGAAGCGTTCGCATTCACGGTTGACGACGCCCACATGCGTAAGAAAATCATCATCTTTGTTCATAGTTAGCATCAAGCATCGATAACGAGTATTAAACAGTGACGAGTTGTCGCCAAAATGTTGGCTTAATGTCTGAACTGTGTTTGCAAAAGATCGGTCACGTGGGTTCAAAAGCAGGACCAGATTGCAATACTTGTCCAGCTCAGTTGCACCCAATTTACGAAGTAGCAGCCGCACTTTCCAAGCATAATCTTGATTGGCGAAATCAAATTTAAATAGATCTTCATAACGCCTGAACCACATCTCAAAAGTAACATTAGCATCAGGATCGT